GCATATCTAGAGTACAAACATTAAATGTGTGCAACACTTTCCACTATCTACTACAAAATGGTGTTAATTAAACAATATAGAAAAAAAAATAGAATTAGCATAATTTAGCAGTATTTAGTGGTAATTGTGTTACACAGTTTTAGTGTTTGTACTCTATATTTTCCTTTTATTAATTAAAGTATGAGAAAAGTTAGACAGGAAATTAGAATTTAAAGTTCATCCCTAGTTTCGATTTTTTTCATCTTTTTGACTTCATCCAGAGCCTTTTCCATCGATTTAACAACTGAAAATAAACGTTTAAATAGTAAACCTTAAAATTTGCTCCAATTCATTAATATGATGAAAATATGTTTATCCTTCTTTTATAATTATTAGAGAGATTAATATTGCTTTTGGAGCAAAAACCGTTGTATCGCGACTTCGAAGTTCAACTGAGGAAATCTTAGGGATTTGGGTTTTTTATTGGCTGAGCTGATAATGTGTATCCCGTTGATTTGCTTACTCTCATGATTATTTAATTCCACCCCGAGCAACGCACACTTATTCAGCTATATTAAACTCCGCACATGTTTAATTGTTAATGGTTTATGATTTCATTTGTCCGTCTGTATATCCATTAATTTGTTCAGATGATCGTTTATCGGTCATTTTATCTGTACATGTTATTTACCGAATGAATGATGTTATTGTCCCTGTTTGTTATATTGTACATACCTGATTCCGCATCGAAGTAGTAGTATTTGTTCTCAGGGTAGGGCGTGTCTTCGTTGTGAATGTCTTTCATTACTTCACCCATTGGATCTGATTGACAATTAATGAACCCAATTAAAGTGCAAACGCTTTTTTTAGCTATATGTTATTGATGGATTGATGGATTGACGGATTGACGGATTGATGGATTGATGGATTGATGGATTGATGGATTGATGGATTGATGGATTGATGGATTGATTGATTGATGGATTGATGGATTGATGGATTGATGGATTGATAGATTGATGGATTGATGGATTGATGGATTGATGGATTGATTGATTCTTACTCAGTATGAATGTTCTTGGAATGTAGGCTCCATCGATGTCAAAACGTTTATCGGTGTGGTCGAATTCGTCCTACGAAAAAAAAACACAAACATAGTCTTAGCCATGTTTTCTTCATTATAGCCATGTTATTCTAGTCATATTGAGCGATTTGACCTGTTCCGTGAAATCAAAAAGTCTAGCTGGTTTGCGATCAGAAGAAACTACAGTATAWTAGATTCGAAGCAAACTTYGATGGAGATACAAATAGCTTTCAATGTCATCATCATAATAAGCCTTTTTCCAGTTCAATGCGAGCGACAACAGACTCACTTGCGCAGACAACAAAAGAAAGCACGAAAAAATGTTAACATTACAATATACCTCTAGAAATTTGAATCTTCTCCGATTTGTATTCCCACAGGAACTMAAATCGGAGAAAATGAAAATTTGTGGGTCCACTGTATTGTGTAATGACAAAAGTTTGTCGTGCTTTCTTTTGTTCTCTACGCAAGTGAGTCTGTTGTCAACTTAAACAGCGGTTGTTCGCTTTGAACTGGAAAAAGGCTTATTGGTATCATTATCGTCCAATTTGGTCCAATTCAGCCCCACTCGAACGACGAATTTCATGTGAAATTAATTTCGAAGTCATTTATTAAGTCTGTTTCCAATGATTTGCTTTGAATTCATCATGTAATATTCAACGTTCATACCGAGATCAAATCTTACCTGTACATTAACCATGACAAACTTTTTGCTAAGTGCTTTGATATCATTTGATGAAGCGAATTTCGGTAAATACGCTAAAAATATAAAAAAAAGCTTATTTTAAGGAAATCATTATTCTAGATATGGAATATAAATTGCTGTGGTTTATCGATGGAATGAGGACGTGASACTGGCAGATAACGCGCACTTTTGTATACTGTTTGTAATTTATGACATTTTTTTTGTATTGCCTTAATAATATCATGTCTTCCCGTTGTAAAGAAGTCTGGTTTACAAGTGAAATATAGCAATGTTTATCATAAATCGACATACRAAATACATACATTGACAAGCCGTGCACCAACTCTTATGAATGACAAGTAGCATCGGTTTCCAACTGAAAAAAAAAGAAAACACCTTAATCTACGTCATATAAACAATAATAAAAAACACTGCACACGGAGTGGATGTAAACTGTTTGCGTTACAATCGATGCTTAAAAAGCTATTGTTGTTATTCAGGTGTTGGTGCTGTTTTTACTGTTGTTGTTGTTTCTTGTTGTGCATGCATGGTCGAGATAGCTTAAGAAACAAAAATCAAGA